TTATAATCTGCTGGCCATATTTCAAGGCGAGAAGCTAGCCCGTAAGGTGAGTATGACAACATTATGTTTTTTAGATTTTCAGTATGTCTGAGAACGTTGCAAGACTGAATGCATATGTAAACAGTCCTAAATTGTGTCCAATTACAAAACAAAACATGACAATACCATTTAGGGCTTGGTTATGCGAAAATTATTTTTGTAATGAAATTGTCTCTACGTTATATTACAGGGACAACTTCTGATTATATTATTTGTCTGGTATATGTGTTACTACATGTACCATATACGGTTAATTACTCTCCAAAACTTAATCGATATAACTAGTTAACAACACTACTAGGAGTTTTGGGTACTTTGGGGGTCATGACTGGTGTTTACCTTTATTTAGTGACTCAATAGCAAGGCTACTAAGACATTCCGTGCCAAATACTTAGGAATGGGGGAGGAGGGAAAGCAAATCGTTCAAGCACATGTGAGTATAACTGTTATCGGATATGAACCTCTTAAGTAAACTAGAAAAATATTAAACATATATTATGGTTCACTATAAACATAAATTGAAAAGCAGTATGTGTCTACACCTAAGTCGTTTTTTCTCTGCTATCGCAAATGTTGATTAATCACCTTAGATATGAAATTCTGCATGGGCCATAACCAATATTTGCATGATGTCAGGTAAAATGATGTACATATCTTAGTTAAAGTTTCATTATGATTGTTTTCCACATATAGGACATAACCGGTAAACAAATTATTTTAATGCCCAGTTACCTATTGTGTTCAGTTAAGGAAAGCCAAACTGAACATTTTTACAGCTCAACATCATTTATATTGCTCACATTCATACACATTTTCTCGATTAATTACCATGAAACCTTGACATTTGTTTATAGTATAGTATGATATGTTTCACTTAAGGTGGCAATGGGCGTGGATTTGGCAGTGTATCGTTCACGGGTCGGTCAGTTTGTGCCTCGACCAGTGAAGGGTATTGTGTCAAACATTGACTACCTGTGTAAAGCTATCGCCAGTGTTCGGGGTGGCCTGATACGACAAGATGGATTAAACAGCAAGGGGGCTGTTACATTCATTGGTCTCCTCCTGCGTGCACAGGGCATAGAGCCGAATCCAGGTCCAGGACCAGGAAAGGGAGATGAACATGTACGTTTAATTTCATGACTTAAATTACGAAACGTGGTATTTGTTCATACAAAACTGAATGAATTTTGGTGAAGCCTGCTATCTCCGGGTATTATTGGATTGCAGATGTACAAATATAATGAACAGTCATTCTCATTCTCTATTGACCTGGTCTAAACAATGCAAAATATTAGGCTTGAAACAATATGTTCTCAGAGCTTAAGCAATATCATTTCATTACACATAAAATGTACTTACCAGTCATTTTAAACAGCATTGAAACCAGTCATATTGTTACCCGTAATTTCTTTATATATTTTTGTTGACATGTACTTGTTTCTACATTTTCATTTTTTTTTAATAAAAAGCTTTCCCTTACAGTCATTTGCAGACGCACAGATGGAAGACAATGACGATATCAACATCACACTCCGTACGTACGACTCCACTCTTCGGACTTTAAAACAGTAATAGGACATTAGACCAGCTGATAAATGTTGTGAAAAACTTCTTGATTTTTTTTCTTTTCTGCCAAATACACGCTCAGTTTGATGTTTCTAAAGTATCAGTAATGCAGGGGCTTCATTACACAGACAGGAGAATGCTTCTGGAGAAAAAAAAATCGGTATTATAGGATTAATTCTCAGCCTCTCTGGACCTAGTCTACACGATGACAAAATTGAGATGTGAAACGGTATGTTATCGGAGTTTAAGTAATATGATTAATACACATATAATAAATAATACATTATACAAGTAAGTTATATTTTTGCAATTTTTAAAAGCATCCTTCATGGACGAATGTTGTAAAATTTATAAATATATAGATACCAGTCAGCTGGTATGATTAGCAACAACGAAATTAAATTTAAAATCGTTACCAAAGATATACACTCAGTATAATTCACGCTCACGATGTGTACGTTTGTTGCGATATATATTCTATATATTGTTTGTCTTAAAAGTTCTCAATGGAGTTTTTGGTTAAATGTCTTTATTTTCCTAGACTAAATGCTCTCTGGGCTGCATTTATACAGCGAATAAAGCTAGTATGTAAAAAGGATTACCAAGAGCTAAGTTCTATTTTTGAAAATTCCCTAAATCAACATCGTTATAGGTATTATGTTATTTATACCCGACTCCAACAGTGTTGTAGCAAAGTAAATAATCCACGCGTTACAAGTAAAAATGTATACTGCATTATACTTCAGTACTGTGTTTATCATGGTTTTAAAGTAAAATATGTTGAGATATTCTTAAGAATCTCTACCCTTTTTAAAAGACTCTTATGTACATCAAGTAACAAAACATAGAACATGTCAAGTGAAAATTAATGTAATTTGATCGTAGGCCTTGCAATACATCTTAAACAGTTTTTGAATGTGTTCAGTTATTCCATTACAGACAGTAACACTGACCCAAACATGGCTGACAGGATTAGCCAGTTTATGGAATCTGTTCTACCTGTCAACAATCCCACCAATAATGGAAGTAGTCAAACAGACGAGTACGAAGGCGCAGTAGCAATACCTGGTCCTTCTTCCGGAGCAATTGCCAAAACAACCATTGTACCTCAAGGTAAAGTAATGAAACACTTTTGCAAAACAGTAGATAATGTGGATTCAACATTGGATATTTAATATCAGAACTGAATTGTTCCATATAACCTTTATGTATATATAACAATAAATATCATGCTGTGCTAATTGTCGAATATTTAAGATAATGAGCTTTTCAAGTTGAGATTGTATCCTATTTTCTTTTAATATATATATATATTGGACATATCTTTCAGTGGTGGTCAATTACCATGACAACAGAAAATATAATGAAGAGATTCGCGTAGAAAATATGAAAGTGAAAAACGCTGAAAATGTATGCACAGGACAGACTATCATCCATACTGGTTTGTATAGATTCAATCTTGTTACTGTTTTTTTTCCTAATTGTCCCTTGATATTTTATTCGTGAACACTTTATTTCGTGGTGAAGTGATTATCTTTTACAATGTTGATAGTTAATATTTATGTGTGGAATTAATATTCAAGAATAATTAAAACTTGCAAGTGAGCTCCTTTTCGCCTTTTGGCCGGCGTTGTGCGTCCGTAAACAATTTATTTCGACCTCCTCTCCAAAACCCCTGCAGAAACCTGCCATGGCCAAAGATCAGCCAAACATGTCCAAAGGGGCCTGAGGGGCGGGGCCAAAAAGGCTCAAATTGACTAAAATTTCAAAAATCTTCTTCTCAAGATCCAGACATGGTAGAATCAAATACTCTTCATAGATGGAAGCATCTTAAGGTGCTTTACCAAAATTGTGAATTTCATGACCCTGGGGTCTCACGTTTCTCCCTTACTGGGGAGGGGGTAAACTTTACTATAGTTTATATAAGGAAATCACATTTTGGACCAGTATTTGTTTAATTTTCATTGGAATTAATGCAAACTTGGATAGCATTATCCATATTCGATAGCAGTTTGATGATATGCACATATCAGCCCTGACTGGCCACCAGGGGCTGATGGNTTACTCAAAAATGTGTATCCTGATAACAACATAATGTCTGGAGTATAGGCACTTGAAGGAAGTCCGTTTTTCTTGTTGATGTAAACCATATATAGGAAACCGCAAAAGTGACCGCTATAACAAAACTGAAAAGAAAATTTATGAACACCATTCAAAATATTACGATGACTGTAAATAGTGGTTTTTTTCAGCAACAGGGGAAGAGGATGACAGCATTCCGGAACCGAAGAAAATGAAACAGGCGAAGGAAGCAATTATGAAAAGTCCCAAAAGAATAACTCTTGAAGGTAACATCCCGATGTTAGTTTGAACAGATGACATGCATAAGCCAATTTGTCTGTACAACTCCCATTCTGCCAACTTCACCAGATGAAATATCAGTCGAGAATAATGCCGAGGTAGAACCAGTATCACATGACTTCATTAATTTCCGCATATGTTAAATAATCCATTACTTTGCAATTGATAATAGACATATAACAATATGCACATAGTAATCTCTCGGGTAAGCATCCTGTGCACTCCAGAATCTGTGTTCAAATATATTTTTATCTGCGGTCTTGTAAGATCTTGAACTCTGACAGGTTAACCTTTGACCGTTCATTTTTCCGTTAAGGTTAACGTTGACTTTTAACATTTTTCCGACGGTCTTCAAATCAAACCCTAAAGTCGTTTGCCTCTCTCTGCCTTATATAATGGGACACATCTATCGTCTGCGATTTATCTTTCAAGTGTGTAGGGATGTTTAAGAAAGTCTTATTGGGATACCTTGCCTTACTATGCCATTTCTTAAATTGGTTCGTTTCCGGCACAATTTTGATCATACAAAAAAATGTAGCCCTACATTTCTTTATCGGAGTGTGAATTCGACTGTTTTAATTCAATGATGGAGATAGTTATTGTTAAATCCTGCTGCAATCCTCTTTTTTGATCTCTAGTGTATCATCAATATAGCTTTATACAATACCTAGACTTTTAGTCTGTACGGTCAATGTCTATGGTTTCTACATAAGACGTACTTCCCTTGCACCAATTGGCTAACACTTGATATACCTTGTTCCCCATAGCTGTGTCACAGCGTTGCTAATATTATTTGTTTAAAAAGATGAAGACCGTTGTCAAACCATGTTGGCATAGACTTGCTTTCTTATGCCAGAAGTTTGAAATTTTAAGCAGTTCTGGATGTTACTGAGCGCTCGTGTGGAGGATATATTTGTGGAACTACCCACAACATCGTGTGCGGTAAGCTCTTCATCATCCAGGAGATGGTTAATGGAAGACACGCTTTCAGCCAAACCTTCTAGTTTTGAAACTATTGTAGTTAACAACCAACACAGTAGAAAAAGAAATACACCAAGTAAGGGCAAGGTTATCCATCTCCCCAAAAGATCTGTCTAAGAATTGCATCCAATACTCTTGAAACATTACATGAAAAACACGTTTATAATCAGTGTCCGACATGACATTTACACCTTTGTGCATTCGTGAAAGCATATCGTGATCTGGTTCTATTTGGGCATAGTTATTAAGATCTGATTGTTCGTCTTGTGAAGTTGACATCTTGCCTAAACACCTTTCGCGACAAAGTTACAAGCTTATATATTTTGCTGTGTTACATCAATTAATTTTACATCCTTTGTCACCCAGACAGAAAGAGCTTCAAAAATATTCTGAAATGATTGATTTCTATATCTTGTAACACGCAGAATAAAACCTTTTTTTAAATGCTTGCGTAATGCATCCATCTTTTCAATATCTTTTGTGCATTTAATTTGTCTAAAGCCACAACAGGATTTTTACTTTAATTTAATCTGTTTCCCAGACAATGCTGAAACAATGTTAAAACGACACATCGAGGAAACAGACAATATTCTGGTGACTAGGAGGGAAGCTGTAACGGCAGTGGCCAATCGTCTGAAAGAATACAACATGGTGGTCATAGCTGGCGTCACGGGGGAAGGGAAGACAACTCTGGGTAGGGAAATATGTAAACAGTTGAGAGACGGTACTCTTGACAAAGATATCAAACCAAAGACACCTGTTCTCGTGATAACTCCCCAGGACTGGAGTGACGTCGTGAACGACAAAGATGATATCGTTGTGTTTGTTGATGACATATTTGGGAAGACAAACTATCAGACTGGGCTTCTGAATGGTTGGAAACCATTTTTTGATAGAATATTGCATTGTTTAGAGGAGAAAAATGTTTGTTTGGTGGTGACATCTCGTACACACATACTAAAAGATGCTATACGGGAATCGGGGGTATTAATAGAAATGGTAAGTGACCACATTCTATCCGAAAAGAAAACAGTAGATTTAACTGACGACCAGAAATTGACTTTACCTGAACGTTCAGACATTTACAAGAAATATTCTCGCCAACGACAGGTTGACCAAGGCTACTTGTCTACTGTTCCAGTTTATAGTTTTCAACCAAATATTTCTTTAGGTTTTGCTCTGGTTTGCAAGCATTTCTTCACCAATGATTCATTTTTTGAGAAAGGTGAACAGTTCTTTTTGAAGCCTGATAGAATACTTACAGAAGAAATAGAGAAAATGAGGCTGACTGAACCGCACAAATACCTTGCATTGGTATACTGTTTCTTAAACGATGAAACTGTAGACAGTAAAAAACTCGATCCCCTTAAAATCTCAAAGGAAGATAAAAAGACTTTGAAAATCTATGCAGAAGTTTGTGGCGTTATTCAGACTGACAACGTATTGACTCTGCTCAAAAACGGACTAGACGCTTTGAATCGCACATATCTTACGGAAAAAAATAGGGTGTTTACATTTGGGCATCAGTCAACTGCAGACAGTGTTTGTATTGTGTTTGGAAAAGAAAATCCAGAAATTATTTTAGAAAAATGTAGCAACCGTGTGATATTAGAACTGCTGGATGTTTCTGAAACTGATCAAACCGATATTTGCACCTTACATGTTCCTAAGAATTGCTTTGAACACCTTGTAAAGCGAATTTACAAGATGATTATTGAAGGGGATGGAATAACACTAGAATCATTCCCCCGGTTCAAAAATCAAGAGCTTGCAGATTGTCTCTTAAAGTATATCACCACAATTGGAGACATACGAGCTTTCCATCGAGCTCATTTAGGTTACGAGTACTTTTCCACCAGAAGTCTATTAGAATCTTGTGCGAACAATGTTTTTTTCTTGAAAGCTCTTTTCAATTTCAAAGTTGATGAGTTCATTGTCAAAGAAAGCGGTATTTTGTTCTTTTCGAGAACATTACAGGGAACATTACTACGATCCCTAGAACATAAAAACAAGGCATCCATGTCGTTTCTGCTTGAGTACGGGGCGTTCTTAACGGAAAAATGTCTTCATGAAGCAATTAGTTCCAATGACGTGGACTTGACAGAGTTCGTATTATCAAGGAATATCTGGACAAAATCAGAAATCAGTAGGTGCACAAAACTTGACACACCAGATAATATACGTGGTGTCCTAGAGAGGGGAACCAGCATGTGCAAGGTGCAGGAGATAAGGAATCTGTATCGCAATCAGAATTCATACCAAGCATCTACAAAACTCTCACATATGAGTGCCAAAGATATGTCGACAGCCGTTGAAGCAATGGATTTCCACACGCTACAAACAATTTTTCAGTCCCCGGGGTTGAAAAATCAGCATAATTGTCTTATAAAAGCAATCCTGGACAAAAAACACAAGCAATTAAATGATGCTATCGCCATTAAAAGAATAGCTGGACAAATCGACGGAACAGTTGTCCAGTGTGCGTTACATCATTGTGACTTGGACATGTTTCGTTTCTTACTTTTGTCATCAAACATCAGTGCTTCACATCTGAACTCAGTGCTTTCTGTAGCCATTCATCTGAACAAAACTGACGAAATAGAAGTTCTGATCAAGGCAGGTGGACAACCGACCCTGGAAGATTTTGTGAACAAGGCAGGGACAACGTGTATGGGTGTGGAGTGTGTTGTTGAAACTATCATGAAAACCACATCATGGACACGTGCACAGCTTGATCGTGCGCTTGACGCAGCCGTGCGCTCCGGTACACATGCTACAATGAAATTCCTTATCAAAGGTGGAGCAAAGTTTCTAGAAGATGCGTTGTTAAATGTATCTAAAAGGCATTATGGTCCGGAAGTGGAGTATAAATACAAATTGACTGCTTCCTCTTCAAAAGCAGATGATAAGCTGAGGGAACTTTTAGAAGAAGATCCGGCAACAGAAATAGAACAAACAGTTCATGAAGCAGTTCAATATGTTTTTTCGGAACACGAATGGTCGCAAAAGCAACTGGATGATGCACTTGATGCTGCATTAGTATCGGGGTCAGTGGCAACCTCACAATTGCTGAGGCTCAATGGAGGCACGTTTCACAGCAATGCTTTGTTAGCCGCTGTAAGAAACCTGCGTTATGCACTACCCATTGTTAGGTTTGTGCGAGAGTATGGGGAATGGTCAGTTGACCAGTTGGGCAATGCATTACACGAGGCTTTAGTCATTTGCAGGCCGGACGTTAGTATGTACTTGAACAAAGAAGGAGCATTGTTCAATGATTCGAGTTTAAAAAATGTTCTTCGGTGGAAGGTTGAACAACATGTTCAGATCAAACTCATAAAACACATT